AGTCCCTTGGTAATTCTAGTTTTCTCGAGATCCTCCTACACCCAAGGAACATGACCAGAGATAATGATGGGTATTCGATACCACTCCCCTTTGAAGTTCCTTTATTTCCAATACTTCCTCTATCGTAGGCCCAACCTATTAGGAAGCCTCACCAAGAGCTCACTAGGGCCGTCCTATTACTTTGCCCGTAGAAGACTCACTAGCCCCTGTAGATGCTGTCGATAGACTACGACACCTTTCCTTACAGACGGTCTGAGGTGTGTCTACCTCTACTGCTGCACCAGGCAAGACCGGAGGATTAAACTTTGTACCATCACCGATCGAAGAGGTAGTAGAATGTGACACCGGTAGTGATGACATAGTTACCCAATAATACTGAGCAGTGTGATGAACCCAGTGAATTCGGGCAGGTAGTACAGACTGTAGTAAATCCTACACTTATCCACTTCCCTGATACCATCCCTGAGCATACCAACTATTCAACACATGTCTCCACGCGTTGGGGGACTGTACCCAGTACAAGACTAGCACCATGAAACCCTAGGACACGTCTCCTGCCGACAATATAACCTACGGGAAATTTGGCCGAGCTCAGATTCGCGTGCTTCATCCTATACAGTCTTTGAATTAACAATGAAGGGCGAGCGAGATAATATCGCGCAAAGGGCTCGAACCGAGCTTCGCTCCGCCGCTCTGCTGGCTCGAGTAGACAAAAACGATTGAAATCCCATGCACAGAGGAGTGGGACAGGCAGACAAGGATGACACGGGCAGGAATGGCTATAAAACTTGTGGTTTCTATGAAACCGTAGCCCGGGCAGGTTATAACCGTTAAACTGGAACCCGGGCGAGCGCTAACTCCAGATCCGTGACTGGTGAGAGCATAGGCTCTAACCGAGATCTGGATGGGTTAGCTCATAGCCACCTGCTGTGAACATCCTCGATCTGCTAGAGTGCTGGTCTATTTGTAAATCAAGAGGGCAGCGTGGAATCATCACACACTGCTCCCTAAACCATGACTGTCATGCCATAATATGACAGCCAAGGATTAGACCTACACTCTACCTCTGGGCAAGGGGAGGGAGGGTTTGATGACTTCATCGAGTCACTGATGATTCTGTTAAAGCTGTTGGTGCTTGAAACCTACTAGCCTAGCAAGCTAGATGATATTATCGCAGATTATTCTGTGTTATTGTGTATTGTTGTGTCACCTCTAGTTGTGTGATTTCACTATCCTCGATCCCTACGAGTCGGGATCAGTCACATGAAATCCCATGCACAGAGGAGTGTGACAGGCAGACAAGGATGACACGGGCAGGAATGGCTATAAAACTTGTGGTTTCTATGAAACCGTAGCCCGGGCAGGTTATAACCGTTAAACTGGAACCCGGGCGAGCGCTAACTCCAGATCCGTGACTGGTGAGAGCATAGCTCTAACCGAGATCTGGATGGGTTAGCTCATAGCC